ATTGATGAGGCCCATTGGGCCTGAAATATACAACTTATTATTATTATTATCTACGCTCCAACTCCTGACCCTTGACCACACTGGTTTGCTCAGCTTTGACTATCCGAGTGTGCGCTAGGGTGATTGCCTACTCAATATTTTGCCTTCAGTGTAATACACCCATTTTAATCTTTTACTTGTTAAAATTCATTCAAATTCTTGAGATTTTGAAGTGACAAATAGGGAATTCCAAAGCGCGAGCCTATTTTTCCTCAAATATGCAGACTTATCGACTCCCCTAAAACATCATTCGTCTGTGTATTTCTTTCGTTCGTGGAATCCAACTATCTTTGGTCGAATTTAAAATTTTACCAGCTCACACCACAATAACTCGCTTTATAACTTTCTAATTGATCTGCTATTAAGCCCTTGTCAATCCTGTTATCAGCTCCATAGATATATTATTAACTGTACCAGCCATCTTATTTCAATTCACAGAATCCAGATGTTCAATTCATTTAGATTCAAAAAGATGTACGTTAAGACAACCAAGTGGGACAGCATCACCATATTTCGATGATGAACCTTTCGTGAAATCTGCTCCTGAGACCAATTTTATTTTGTCATGAAAAGTGCGTTGATACATTTGGTTACACCAGTCCTTAACCTATTAAGTCCGGCTAAAGCAGAATTAACTTCGATTAGAAGACAGCTAAATAACAATCCGCACATGGGCGGCTTCCGGGGTAGAGGGTACATCCCTAAATGAAAAAATGAAAAAAATAAAGGGCGTTTCCAGAACCGCACGAAACCGTATGTTTACAGTAGTATAAACTTTGTAAAGATATCCGGGGTTCCGCTTAGCTCTACTCATAGTTTTCTTTCTTCCGGTTCGCCTGCTATATTGTTTTGTTGAACTAAAAGGGTCACGACAAGCTATTGATTACCAATTATTCGAAAGTTCTCTTAGTTATCGTGCACTACATTGTTAAGTTTCAAGGACTCCAACAATGGCTGATAGACCACGAGTTCCAGATGGCTTCCAAGAACTTCTTGAAGAACTTTCCTATGAAGTGCTCAAGCAAAGACCTTCCGATTTTATACAGTTTTCTATTGACTTCCTACAATCCAGGAGGGGTCCGAACGGGACATTTATTACCAAACGAACGACCAGTGGTTTTGCAAATGATGACCCACTGAGAAATAACAGAGACCTTCATTTTAATTCATGCCCACAAAATAACCACTGTGCGTATGCCATGGCTTACGGCCGTATAGATTATGCTCAGTTTCCCAAGTCTTTCGAAATTCAAAAAATTAACAAGTCCGAAGAACAAGCTACGCGTCTGAACAGTGCAATACAGAGTACTCAACTGTTTAAGGATTTGAACGAAAATGAGTTGAGTGCTTTGTTTGATGCAATGTCCGAAATGAAGGTGAATGCTGGTGACCAGATCATCAAATATGGAGATGATGGAGATAAATTCTACGTTGTAGACTCAGGAAAATTCTACGCTGAAGTCAACGTGGATGGAGAAATGAAGCGAGTTGCCGAATATGACGGTTCTGGGTGTTTCGGTGAACTCGCCTTAATATACAACACCCCAAGGTTGGCCACAGTCATAGCCGAGACACCCGGAGCTTTGTGGGTTCTTGACAGGGACAGCTTCAGGGCCATCATTTTCAATAGTGCGTATTTACGTCGGCAATGTTTTGAAGGCTTGCTTGAAAAGGTTGAACTTTTTAAATCTCTTAGTACCTATCAACAGTCTCAACTAGCGGATGCCTTTCAAACAAAGACTGTTGGCCCATCAGAAGTTATCTTCAAGGAAGGTGAACCCGGGAATGAGGTTTTCTTCATCAACAAGGGCTCTGTACAAGTGTATAGGGAGGATGGTGATAAAGTGGTTGACATCGCCGAATTAAACGATGGTGAATACTTTGGCGAAGTTGACTTAATCAAAAAGCAACCTCGAGCAGCGACAGTAGCGGCCAAGTCGCAAGTTGAACTAGCAGTGTTGGATGCTGATAACTTTGAGAGAATTTTAGGCCAGAATAAGGATCAGCTGATGCAACGAATTGACAGCTACAGCCATTAAAGAAGTTGGAATGACTGAAGAGAGCTCCTATTGCTCAGTTGTGCTCAGGCTCATCCGATGAGCTGTGGCTGCAATTCATTTGAATTATTTTACATCCACACGAGAGCAGGCCTTTCTCTTTCTCGATTAAACTCGGCATGAATCTCAATTGCCGTGTAACTAATTTTATTTAAAAATAAAATTTCCAGAATGCTTCATAGGCGCAGGCTGTTCACTTTCTTTACGGTAACATTTAAGACCGCATCAAAGTAATATATACTACTGGGGAGGGAGACAACTACTCTTGATCGCAGAAATGAAAGCCGTGATCTTTGACTGACAGTTCAAAATGTTCACAGATAACTGTAATCCAGCCTCCGCTGGAGCCGTTTAGTGAATCCATTAAGATTGCGATCTGGGACTAGTAAAAATACGCTTACGTTTGCATGAGAGTGTGGTTTATGGTGCGAATAAGCAGGAAGAAAGTTGTTGGTCCTACATAAGTGAGCAATATTGGGAACTACTGGATCACCAGTGCGGTTATTTCGGTATCTCTGACCTCTGTTCAATGGGGGACAAAAAATTGCTATGTGCGAATCAACGTCAGCATAGTTGTAATCCGCTATGGTAAGAATAACCTAAAGATAGCACCATTAGACCTATTCCATTCTGGCACTTAAATGCATTCAATTAGGCCAGGTTATTGGCAGGCAGAGCAAATGGCTTTCTGCAACAGTCAATTATTATCTGCACCATAGATGTGGCCAACAAGTGATGTAGGGCAGTTTACTGTGGGCTTCTTGAGACGAAAATAAGACATACCGTGTTCCACAAATAGGTGAGGATTCCTCATGCTAGACATTGCCGTATCATGCTTATGGATTCTACTTCTATCAAAAGCTAAACTAAAAACATCGTAGTAGTAAACGCCTTACCGCATTTGACGTCGACGAAAATAATGTATAACATTCGAAGTCCTTACCTTCAGGTATTTCCAAAATCAGATGACTATCATCTCGTTTCAGGTGGTGCCCATACTTTACATGCTTTTTACAGCTGCAATCGTGCTTGACCCAGCGGGCCTCACTGATGTCCTGGATGTTATTTTTCCCCACGTTACGAGACGTGGCAGC